AAAAAAACCAAAAAAAAAAAAAAAAAAAAAAAAAAAAAAAAAAAAAGTAGGGGAAACGAAAAGAGATTATTCATATTGTTATCAAAAGATTTTCAAATTTAATTGTAGATGTATTCCTAGAACAAACATAAATGAAGAAAGTAGACATAAGAACAACGACAAAAATAAAAACCTGAGTAGTGTGATATCCATTAAACAGGCTGAATGAATTTTCACTCCTTTCTATAGGACCTACGATGTCATGAGTGAATTCTTTGGAATTCCTGAAGGTTGATATAACACTACTTCTACACATATTTAATATACTCTAAGCATATGTCCTGTCATTTCTAATTGGGAAAACGCATTGTCGGGGTGTTATCTCCATTATTTCTGGAAGAAACACTTCAGGTGCCGTTTAAAGAAATTATAGAAAAAAACTGCCAGAAGGAAACTCCACTCTTCTCTAGTGGAAATCTGTTAGGGGAGGAGAGAATTCTTTCACCTCGTTCTTAGGAAAAAAATCGGGAGACTAAATAATTGTGCTTCCCTCTAATAAGTTTTCTAGCTCATTGTAGGACATTTACCTTTTAAACATACCTCTGAAAGTTTAGAAGCTAGAAAACAATTTAGATATAATTGACTCCAATTATTTTTTTCTATAGGACACTTAATTAATTTGAATTCCAGATTTTTAAAAATTGTATAAGTGTATCCCATGCAATATCTCGGATATATTTATACTAACAAAAGTGTACATGATTTATCTGAAATTCCAATTTAACTGGTCACCTTTATTTTATCTGGAAACCCTACCGGTCCACTGATTCAGGTTTTATAATTTTAGTTTTAGATATTTGTAGATTGTCCTATTATATAAATTACTTACTAAGAACACATATGGAAAATTATTAAACACATACTTAGGGTAATTTAGGCAATAATTTCAGAATTATACAGAAATTTTGACTCAAAGTCAAGCCTCAAAAACATCTCCTAAGAATGGGTAAACTGTCAAAAAAAATCGCTAAACTATGCTTGAATTCAATTTTCAAATTTAGCTAATCAAATGGCTTTATATATACACCATTTTGAGTCAAAACTGGAGGTTAATAATTATGTTTGCATTTCATAACCACACGCTTTTTAAATTTTTTACAAGAACCTCAATCTCCATATTTCCACAGCATTAGTTTTCACCTACAGTTAAAAACATCTGGAGCATTTCTGGTTTTAGATCCTTGAGGAATTGCCACACTGTCTTACATAATGGTTGAACTAATTTACACTCCCACCAACAGTGTAAAAGTGTTCCTATTTCTTCACATCCTCTCTAACATCTTTTGTTTATTGACTTTTTAATAATTACCATTCTGACTGGTGTGAGATATTCTCTCAGTGTGGTTTTGATTTGTATTTCTCGAATGACCACTGATGATAGGCTTTTTTTCAAACGCTTGTTGGCCACATAAATGACGTCTTTTGAGAAGCGTCAGTTCTTATGCCTTGGTGACTCAGCAATCCCATTACTGGGTATATACCCAAAGGATTATAAATCCTTCCACTATAAAGATACATGCACATGTATGTTTATAGCAGCAGTATTTACAACAGCAGACTTGGAAGCAACCCAAATGTCCATCAATAACAGAATGGATAAACAAAATGTGGCACATATACAATATGGAATATTATGCAGCCATAAAAAAGAATGAGTTCATGCCCTTTGTGGGGATATAGATGAAGCTGGAAATCATCATTCTAGAGCAAACTAACACAGGAACAGAAAACCAAACATCACATGCTCTCATTCCTAAGTGGGAGTTTAACAATGAGCACACATAGATACAGGTAGGGGAACATCACACACAGAAGCCTATCGGGGGTGATGGATACGGGGAGGGATAGTATAAGGACAAATAACTGATGCATGAGTGCTTAAAACCTTGATGACGGGTTGATGGGCGCAGCAAACCATGATGGCACCTGTATGCCTATGTAATAAACCTGCATGTCTGCACATGTATTTTAAAAAACAACCTTGGAGTAAAATCAAAGTAACGATCATCTTTATGCATACACACACACACACCCCCTAGATATAAAATTTTTTATGAGAATTAGAAAAGTGAATAACAGTTAAATGTATTTTCTGCCAAGCTAAGGGATAACTAGAAAGTTGATTTTGTTTCACATCTTGGTAGAATGCATTTATGAAATGAACCGGTATTGATGGAACTAATATATATTTATTACATTTTCTTTCTAATATATTTACACTTTCTTTTGACCTCCTCAATCACAAGCAGAATCTCAGAAATTCAGTGGTTCAGCTGTGCTGTTCTCTGTTCCTGGAGACGGCCGGGCACTATGTTTAGAAGTAAAGTATTTCCTACAGGCACCAGCTCATCAAGCAGTGAGCACTTAAGGAAGCTGTTTGTGCAGCTCAAGTGTCTCGCTTCATCACGACTTTGTATTGTAATTAGACTCACAAAAGATAATTAAAAAAAAATATTGAGCTGATGATTTGAATGGAGCATTAAAAATATAGCTATGTAAAAATGGCATAAGAGTAGATAAATACATGAGAAACATAGAAAAAAAATCTTATCTTTGCAAGTCCAGTAGTCAAAGCCTACAGAAGTAAATTTCTTTAAATAAATGAAAATAAACAAATGGCATCATTTTGGAAGAAAGCAAATTAATATTTAAAAACTCTATCAGTTGTTTTAGATCTTAGGTATTTTTATTTAAAACATAATAGCAATATTTTTTTCTTTTTAATTTAAAACTAGGAAACTGAAACATAAGGAAAGAAAGCACCCAGAAAGACACACACACACACACACACATACACACGCACACACACACACACACGTACACACACGTACACACACACACGTACACACTTCATTTTAAAATCACAAAACTAGAAAGTGGTAGAGTAGATTTTTCATCCAAATCTGCCTGAGAGGCTATGTTTTTTCAACTATACTCCACTATTTTCATCATTCAATTGATAAGAGATTTAAAACTTAATTTTTTAAACTTTCAAAACTTCTGTTTTATGATATCCTTTATAATCCACAATCCATCAACTGTGAACACATCAAGTTTTTGTTTTTGCTTTGAGATCAAATCTCACTTTGTCACCCAGGCTGGAATGTGGTGGCACAATTTTGGCTCACTGCAACCTCTGGCCCTCTAGGTTCAAAGAATTCTCCTGCCTCAGTGTCCCAAGTAGCTGGACTGACAGGCACATGCCACCATGTCTGGCTAAGTTTTGTATTTTTAGTAGAGATGGAGTTTCACCATGTTGGCCAGGCTGGTCTTGAACTCCTGGCCTCGTGATCCACCTGCTTCTGCTTCCCCTTTGGGAATTACAGGTGTGTACCACTGTGCCTGGCCTCAACTTATTAACAAAACATAATGCTATGTATTTATTAAGCATTTGGAGTCCTTACCCTAGGACTATATATTCATGTTGGTTCACACAATCCTACTGTACTAAGTCCATATTACTTCAGTTTTTCAAACTTTTAATTACTAATACGTGTATAGATGGAGAGACTGATTCATTCCAAGTACTAGGGGATAAGCAAAGCGTCAGTGCTGCACAGAAAATAATGAGACTGAACTCTAAAATTATTGACTTCTATGTAAAAAATTCTAAAGCTGTTGATGTCTAAATAGTAAGAGACATAAAATGCTTTGTGGTCCACAAAACATTATAGGTCTCTTGCGGCAGGCAGGGTGGGCTACAGATGAGAAGCAGGGGCTGTTAAGCCGTTAACTGAAAGCTTACCTTTATCTGAACACTTATGATTAAGATAAAAATTTCATCCACAAAGGTAACTTTCACTCTGCACAGCAAAAGTCCATGGCTTAACCAGTCAGAGAAAATGATAAAATGCCCTGAAAATCTTCTGAGATCAAAATATTATGGTGTGGGGCTGCTTTTAAGCCAAATCTGAAGTTACAAATTTAGGGAAAGTTTCAGTTTCAGATTGGTAAAGATGATCCACATCAAATATTTTAATGACATTTTGGAGAAACAAAGTGATTGAATTATCAAATTATAAAAGGTGCAGTGGTGAGCAGGAGAAAGCGAGCCTCTGTGAACTTAGAAACTATGATGTCTTGTTCATTCTTTTGTGTGTTACATGCGTTACGCCACTTCCTAGTCTTAGCTTCCTAATGGAAAATTAGGAGGTTAGTTCAGGTGACTGTAAAAGTTTTTTTGCAATATTCAACTATTTATGTTTAATATGAAGACAGAAAATTGTCAAAAAAAATAAAGTGAGAATGTGCAATGGTTATGTAAATGTCAGAATTCTAAGAGCTAAAACAGGTAATTTGGAAGGCCAATTTATCTTCCTGGAAACTTAGAAATGTTAGTGGCCAAAAAAAAAAAAAAAAAAAAAAGAAACAGGACAGAGAAAGTGATTACAATAATTCCAGATATATAGACTAGCAGAGAAAAAGGATGAGTTTAGTAAGGCATCCTATGGTAACTATGATTTTAATTGTATGAGCATAAGAACTTCATCTGACAGTGAAAGAATATCACTGGAAGAGACAATCATATACGGTCATACTAAAATCAAGACGAGAAACCACTTAATTGGAAAAGAGCTAGAAAGAGTTTAAGATGCAAGGAACTACAAAAATTAATAAATCCTGCAGTAATTAGAGAAGACTTGCATGTCCACTCCCACCTGGACTGGTGAATTTATTGCTCAATCTACTTAAATATTTGAGCAATTTGGGCTAAGATTCTATGGAGCTACTTAAAGCATATGGTCACAGGGCATATTGAGATTTACACATAATTACTAGCCTTCAAAGGAGCAAATTCTAACTGGAGAGAGATGATAGATGCAGCACTGACGTAATAAAAATAAATAATACTAGAGATGTCATGGGACCTTTTCACATTGATTTATTGAACGTATGCTAAGTGCTTACACTGCCCCTTGGAGGGAGAGAACGTGGCTCGTGTGCAGACAGTAGCAGGAGCCTTGTCAAGTGGACAATATCATCACCCTGCACAATAGCCCTCAGTGGCTCAGGGTGTGTCTCCCTCACAGTGACTAGCAACTGTATCTTTGCTGGAACCTGAACTCACACAGCTAGAACCCATTTTGCTGTACACAAGGAGAGTGGGAGGTGCCTGGGAATGTTTGCTCCCCAGAGTAACCTCAATGATTGACAGATGCCAAGATAAGAATACTCCGTTTTCCTTTTGAATGATTCTAATTGTCACCAGATTTCTTTGCCAGGATTCAGTCAAGGTTACCTTCCGTTGAATACCTGTGAGAGCACATCCATGTCTGGCCGGCACGCCTCTTCTGACTCACTTCTTCACTTTCCTACTGCTTTAATTCCTCCCTAGAAATCTTCACAATCAATCACTTTCATAGTAATCTTGTTTCAGGGTTTGCTTCTGGGAATCCAAAGCAACGATACCTTACCAAAGTCCAAGTCCTTCTTTATCTGAGGGGAGGGTAGAAATACACTGAGCTATAAAACCAAACTTCACAGCTTCTTATTAGAGAAGCGGTCCTGGGACATGTTTCCAATGAATGATACATCAGAGGAAACCTACTGGATATTTGAGAAGAATGTTTACTTCCTAGCACGGTGATTCTCTCTAGAACATCATTCTTTCTCCTACCTAGAGTATATGCAGGAGGTTGGATGCAGGACAGCCCAGAGGTGACCATGAAGACCAAGGAAATCCCTGAAGATGGCAGAGCAAAGGAGAAAAGGTGCATGTTCAATGGTCAGCATCACTGGAGACATGGGAGGGCCTCAGCCTTAGAGATAGACTACCTGCTTCCACAGGTATTACAAGGTTTTGCAAATGAAGCACCATGTTTAAGCTGTGGACAGCTCTGTTCCCAAGCAACTGAGTACAATCTCTAATGGATACAATGGAAAGAGAAGACAAATCATCTGTACAATAAACCCTCATAACACAATTTTACCTATTAACAAACTTGTACTTGTACCTTTGAACTTAAAAATAAAAAAAAAATGATTTTCAATGTTTTCAATGGAGTATAAAAGGCCCACTCCCTGCACTGGGGCAGGGTTGGGACAAGTCATATATCAGAGTCCCCTGTAGGGTCAGGTGGAAGCTGCCCCTCGGAGTTTGCCTAAGGTTTCAGCCTGGGTTGGCTTTCTCGTCTTCAACAATTTGCATCAAATTAACAAAGGAAACCTTTTCAAGTCCTCTGAAAGCCCTCTATATCCAGCAGAACCAGAATGCCTGGAACTGAATCCAGCTCGACCCCTTACTAGCTGGTTGAACTTAGCAACCATACTATGTGTTATCAACTGTAAAACAGGCATAAAACCTTCAAAGGTTGGTTTTACAGGTTAAACGTAAAGTTCTTAGAATTGTGCTTGATACATGGCATTATTATTCTTTTCTTTTTTTCTTTATTTTCTTTTCTTTCTCTTTATATATTTATTTATTTTTGAGACAATATCTCACTCTGTCTCCCAGGCTGCAGTCCAGTGGCAGGTGGCAGGACAATAGCTCATTGTAGCCTTGACCTCCAGGGCTCAGGTGATCCTCCCACCTCAGCCTCTAGAGTAGCTGGGACTACAGATGTATGCCACCATGCCCGACTAATTTTTGCATTTTTTGGTAGAGGCAGGGTTTTGCCATTCTTCCCAGTCTGGTCTTGAACCCCTGGGCTCAAGTGATCTGCCTACCTCAGCCTTGCAAACTGCTAGAGTTACAGGCATAAGCTACCATGCCCAGCCTTTTCTATAATTTATATTTATTTCACTTCAGAATCTGATTCAAACAAAAAGAGAAAGCCAGGTTTTGAGGTATAATGAAAGGGAAATGTTTGAACCTATAGAAAGTCAGAAAATTCAACATGTCGATATTTATAGACTGATAGTTTGAGTCTTCCAAATCTCTTAATAAAATTGTAAATATCCCAGTGAAAAACAGCATGCTAGAAAATCTCCAATGACAACCCAATTACACTGCAGGCCTGGC